CCACTTCTCGGGTGCACGACAGCTCTGCGCGGCAGCAGCATCAGCAGCCGCCGCACCGCCACCCGCCTCGCGCCTGTCGCGGCCGGAAGGGAGCACGCCGTCGCTGCCGTGGTACCGAGGGCCGGAGCCCGACTCTCGTACAGTCGAGCGGCTCCGAGGCGAAGCGCTGACACACACAGGGCATGCCGCGCAAGGAGAGCGCGCCTCGAGGCCGGCAAGTGCGCGTACGTGCCGCGCGGTCTTGGTGGCGCGATTCATGAGGTCGCTCTCGCTGCCGGCCGATGAACCCTCGCCGCCCCCGCACCAGCGACACCGGCCGCGGCTCGCCTCCACGCGCCGGCTCGGAAGAGGGGCTGTCGGCGGCGCAGCAGAGCGGCTCGCCTCGGCGCTCGAGCCGCCGACAGCCCCACTCCTCGACGGCCGCTCCCGGAGCCAGCCGGTGCGCGCCCGACCCACGTTCCCTCTCGCACCCCTCCGACCCCCCCTGCGCGGCGCACCCGCCCGCTGTGCGCCGGCTCGAGCGCCTATCGCCAAATCGCGACGTTTGAGCGCAGCGCACGCGTCCCACACGTCACGCGCGCGCAGGAGAGCGTGCGGCACAGCAGTAGCGTGTACTCGCCGAGGGCATCGCGCCGAAAACCCCGCGCGTTCCGCCCCAGCAGAGGCTGCAGCCTCTGCACAAGCTACACCACTGTAAGAATGGTGAGTACTTGGGGTTGAGTGGGCTTGCTTGCTCCCTTAGCCGGGAGCAAAAATGCAAGAAAAGGTTCAGTAAGAACATTCTTTGTGTTCGTGGACTCTCAGTCTAGCGGTGCTTGTGCTTGCGCAAAATGCGCAGCGCGAGCGGGCCGGCTGCATTACAGCCGTTGGATTTTTCATGTGGCACACGGCAGGTCGATGAAGCTCTTCGCTAGCAGACTTCCACCGCCATCCAATGGGTAGGCGTGCCGTGTGATGATAGCCTCCTCTCCTGCATCATGTCAGCCAACCCTCTGCAATTCAGCGCGTACTGCGAGAGCTCATAAACAGTAAGCAGTTTGGACCGGACGACAACGCGATGCTTCGGGAGGCCGGTAGCAAAGATCAGCAAGGATCGTCGCACTCCTGCTCTGAAGTAGTGGAGCATTATGTGTTGTTGGATATTGCTATAGCGGCTCCAGCAGCTCAGCAGCAACGCGCAGTCAGGAGCACCAGTGGAGCGGACAACGAGATGCCACAGCAGATGCCTTGAAGGACAGTCCCCGCACTGTGACCGTGCCTCGCGCATAGGTCCAGGCTGGCCTCGTGGCTTAGACTGACCGCGCCGGAGGCCGGCGCGCTAAACCGAGAGACGTGAGTGCGACCAACACGAGCTCGTAAGAAGAGTTTAGCTTTGCAGCAGAAAATGTGTCGCTCCCGCCTTGACACACAAACCCACAAGTTTAATGTGGCTTGCGCGTCTGTCTTCCTCGAGGTTTCATATACTGCTCAACCCACCCGCCGTCCGGCTCTTCCCAACGTCTCAATAACACTAACAAACACACACACACGAACGACGCTGCTAGCGACTGACAGGCAGCGCCACGAACGAAGAAAGTGTAATAATTACTCTAGGGAGCTGCAGCTCGGAAGGCATGTTGCGCCAGCACGGTACTCATCAAACAAGGAAAGGCTCCACCCGAAAAATGGTCCACGCGGGTAGGTAGTAGGTGACGAGAGAGCGCATCTCCGAAACGCGGCGGCGAGCAAACTTCAGCGCGCATCACTTAGAGCTCTACTCTGCCCTCTAGTCACCGAGCACACCATTGCCAACCGCGGTCGCTGTATCTCATGGCGCTCTCGCTGACTCAAGCTGGTCCCTCCACGAACACATCTGGATGACTCGGACTGACTTGGTGCCGGGCGACTGCACGCTGTGTGTGCGGCTCGCCTCGTCCCACAGCCCTTTGCTTCATGAAATTCCTCCTCCCCCCCATTCCAGCACCTGCTGATTCAACAAGCGGATTGAATCACCCATCATCTGCTCCTGATGTGTCCTAGTCAACCGCACTGCATCCGGTGTGGAGGGCCATTCTTCCCGCAAGACGGCAAGACCACTTCCAAGCCACCACCGCCGCCACTGCACCACCGCCGCCACTGCACCACCGCCGCCACTGCACCACCGCCGCCACTGCGCTTGTTTTGTCAAATGTTGTACATGCTTAAATAAAAGAGTACAACAATGGTATCATGAGATCAGGACGGCGGTACCGTACCGGCCCACGACTGGGTGCTGCACAGAGGCGTGCTGCCACACATGCAGGTGGGCCAGCATCATCCCACGAAGTGGCACACACTTGAGCGCGACATGGGCATCCGGGACAATGGGCATGGCTGCAAGCTCAATACCCTCTCTCTCACGCTCCAAAAGCTGGGATGCGATCGCGCGATTGGAGGCGCTGAGGCTGCAAAATCCACTCGACATCATCTCGACAACTAGCTCGTGAAGCTCGCCCCCGTCAGTATGCATGCCAGTGCCATCCTCATTGAGATAAGTTCCAGTGTTGCGCGTCGCCTCAAAGCCCCCAGGGAACTGGCCGCATCGCAGGAACTCCTCGATCCCCATGGTGTGATTTGCTGCGGCGCCCCGCACGTGCGCTGCGCCGCCCACAAAGCCGCTGATTGAGTCGTGGATGTTGGTCAGGCCACGCACGCCCTTGCCGAGCAACTTGCCAATAGCAGAGACAGAGCCTGTCATGCCACCTGGGTCTTCTGCTTTGCCATCGAGGTCCTTTCGATCCCGCACAAGCTCGCGCAGCGCGCCAAGCAGGAGGCCCGCATCATCGCGCAGGATGCCGGTCGCGTCCACCGACAGCAAGACGCGAAGGTGTTCGCGTGAGAGCTCACGGAGAATGTCCGAGTAGCCAGGGACCACTTGCGCTGCCCACTCGTGGTCCTCGGGTCTCATTGTCAAACTTCTGAAGTGGCCCACCAGAGGGTACGTGATGATGGGCTGGCCTGGAAAGTGCGGGTGTTTGCCCGTTCTTCTGCAGCCGGGGAGAGCGGGCACCAAGACGTCGAGACTCTGGACAGCAGCCTTATCTCCCACTGCTGGAGGCAGGATCTGCACACCCTGTGCCAAGGGCTTGACCACGCTGCCCATGTGGCGCCTGAGAGTGGGGTGGAAGGCCACGTCTGAAAGGTTTGAGATTGGACCTGGCCGGCCGCCCTGTGTTTTGTGAGCAACACTCAATGACGAGGCATCCGGCTTTGTCAGTTGCGAGACACATTCGCCACAGAGGCCAGTCGAATGCACAGAACCGGTGATGATTGCACTGCAGCAAACGCATCTGGTGCTGGCATCGCTGCAGCGACGCTTTTTGGCGCTGCGCTGTCGCTGCGCCGCCGCCTCATCCCGGCGCTCTTGCTCCTTGATAGCCGTCTTGCGGCGGAGCGCCAGGATGTGGCCCGCGAGAAAAGTGGTGTTGGCGTCATGGGTCGAGATGGGGTTGCCATCAGGGACCAGGGCCGCAATAGGCAAGCTCCTCGCGCTGCGGAGCACGCGAGCGAGTGGCCCTGTGTTTCGGGCCCACACAAGATCGCGCATCACGTCTCGGGGGGAGGCGCCCATCGCGCCGCTCGTGCCAGCGGCGCGGGAGGAGCGGCGCAGGTTGCAGTCATCGTCCCTGCTCAGTAGTTCAGAGTCGGTGCTGCTGCCTTCCTCGAGGGTAACGTGTTCTGCCTCGCTGGTGTCGATCGATGATCGCCGCGTCGAGACGTGAGGAGCCTCGCCGCTGCAGCTCTCAGCCGCGGTGCCGCCGCTGCGCAACGGTGGCAGCTTGCCGCAAGTCCACAACGACTCACCAACCGTACTCTTTAGGCGCTGCAGCAGGCGCCAGTCGGCGCGTGTGGTCACTGCCAACAGTGTGACGCTCCTGGGCGAGTCGACGGCGCTCAGCACGAAGGTACCACCTCCCTTAAGCTGGATGCTAATCTCCGGCGAGATGACCAACGAGTTGAGCTGCGCGCGTTCCTCCCTCGTCGCAACAAAGGTTCGGCTGCCATCAATGAGAATGGGATGCACAGTTGCAGAGCTGGCCAGCTCGACGCACTCCTGGCCCACCCAAAGCCGGAGAGCGTGCGTCGTGATGGGGGGCAGCCGTAGAAACACCTCCTGCTCAGACACCAACCGCAGTTGATTGCGATTAACCATGGCAGCAAACGCATTTGCAGTGAGGAGGCTGAGCTGGTCGCCAAGCTGAGCAGCAGTGGTGCAGGTAAAGCACTTGCCCCACTTCTGGCTGCTGCCCTTCGAAACGCTTTCCAAAGTGCGGCGCAGCCTCCAGCCGCACGCGCCGGGCGCGAGCAGGTGCTCTTGCGACCCGCGCTCCTTGGGCGGATCCTCGACTACAGCAAGCACACGCGCTGCATAGTCGACCGACCAGTTGAGAGAGCACGAGCTGCAGTCAATCAGCTTTGAGCCATTGAGCCGCAGCCCTTTCAGCCCCTTTGGGAATTCGCCCTTTGAGGGGAGCATGCCGAGCTCAACCTCCTCGAGAGGGCGGCTGGAGGACCCGCACGCGGCACGCACGGCTTTGAGCAGGTCATCCCCAGAGTCAATCGGCTCATGTGGCAGTGGGAGGCGGAGCAGCTCGCGCAGCTGCTGCTGCTGCGCCATCCGTGCAGGGTCTGGTGTGGCTGGTGCGGCTGAGCTCAGGGGCGCGGGGTCAGAAACCGGAGGGTCATCTGGCGCCCGGCCACCTTTCGTCTGCACCGCGCGCCAGGCGCGCTGCTTTGCCTTCCAGAGCCTCCACGACTGGTTGTATATGACCACCGCCTCTTCGCGGGCACTCCTTTGGGCCAATGATCGACTTGATGGCGGCGGCGCGAGCGGCTTGTGGTGAATCACATCCTCTGGGCCCCTGTGGCAAAAGTCACTTCGCCATTGCGCGTGGTTGCTGTACCACTCGTGCAGCTTAAAGCGATACTTAACTTGCGGCCCGAGCTGGTCCAGGGCGTGGTGCACAAATGTCGTCGGAAGCATGAGAGCGTTTGGTGGTCGAGCAAACGGCCCGTGGAACGACAAGTTCCTTCCTCGGGCTGAAAAATTAGGAATCATCTAGAGTTCTCATCTGAAGCATCAAATTCCTCCTCAGCGACCCGGAGACCTTCGCCGCGCAGTACTTTGGGCTGCTGTCGTGCGAGGGGCAGGGCCTGTACCCACGTGAGAATGTCCGAGCAGGCTACGTCCAGCTGCGGCCGGAGAGCGTTCGCTTTTGCCTGCCGAAGCAGCGGGAGGCCTTCCAGCTGTACCAATCTCGATGGTTCCAGTACCTCGTGGCTTCGGCCATCGCAGCCAACTTCATGGTCAACATTGCCGAGAAGGTGAGCCGCGGGGTGCACTTCAGGGATAAGCTTCGGCTTTTCAGACTCCAGCCCGTTGAATACAGGAATGGGATCCGTACGCCACGCAGCTTCGACCGGGGCTGTGGCTCGGCTTTGAGTCGGTCTTTGTCTCCTTCTTCTGCTGCGAGCTGCTGCTAAACTTTTACAGCGTTGGCTTTCTCTTCTGGCGCACCAACGCGGCATGACTTCCATGTCCTCATCCTGCCGTCACGGGCACGCGCCTTCACACGCCACATGGTGTGAGCAGGCTTGGAACTTTTTTGACCTTCTTACCGCCGTCATTGGGTGCGCGAGCCTTGCTGCGATGTCGCTGCACGCCACCGATTTCCCCGCCGCGCTGCGAAACATCCGCAATCTGCGCGCATTCCGGGTCGTCCGTCTATTCAAGCGCTTCCGTAACCTCAACCGCGTCTCCTCTGCGCTCGTAAAGGCACCCCAGGCATGGCGAGCGCTTCTCTTACCCGAGGAACCCCCTTCGCATATTCAGCTTCCGAAATAGGCGGTCCCGGGCATGGCGAGCGCCTTTCTCCTCACTACGATCGTACTCTGCTTTTACGCGATCCTCGGCGTCGACTTCTTTGCCATGTCGGGCGCCGACGGCGACTGGTCCGTCCGGAATGACAACGTGCGCCGCGGAGTGTGCACCACCGAGGAGGTCGAGGAGGGCTCGTGCAGCCTCGAAGCCTCTGTCTCCTCCGTCACGCTGCGCGGGCTCACGTACGGAGAGGAGCCCGCGCCGTACAAGAGGGTGCGAGGGTCACTTCGAAGGGTGAACTCTGATCTCTGATCTGCTGCCATAGGAGTACTATGGCAGTTTCTCCCGCGCTCTGTACACGCTGTTCCAGGTGCTCACGGGGGATTCCTGGGCGGAGACAGTATCCCGACCAGGCGTCTTCACTGCGCGCGACGGCTTCTGGGTGGCCACGTACTACGTATCGTTCGTCCTCCTAACACAGCTGGTCCTCATCAACGTCGTCGTCGCGGTCCTCCTCACCGGGTTCGACGACTACGAGGAAGATGAGGGCCTCACACTGGCCGAGAAGCTCACTGCCCTGCTCGAGAGCGAGCGAGTGGAGCTACTTGACGTGTTCGCGACGTGGGACAGCAATGGCTCGGGCGCAGTTTCGAGGGTAGAGTTCCAGCGGGCATTGCTCGCCCTGGGATACCGAGGGGACAATGAGCTGCTGCACCACCTCTTCAATGCGGTAGACAGCCGCGGTGCGGGCGAGATCCGGGCGGACGACTTGCGCGCTGTCGTCTATGGCCACGCCCGGCGATCGCACGTGCGCGCAGCAGAGAAGCGCACCGCCAAGGAGGAGGTAGTGGCTCTGCGCGCCGAGCTGCAGGAGGTCAACACGCGGATCGAGGAGCAGATGGAAGAGATGGGTCAGCTCCTTGACGTCGTGAAGGACCTGGTGGAGAGGAACTTGCCGCCCGAGCACAATTGGAGAGGCGGGGAGAAGCGGGACGACGATCCTACTGGCGGGGGGCCGGCGGGTAGCGAGCCGACCAGCGGCGAGACCCACCACCGGCAGCTTGCTCTGGCGCCACGCTTCCCGAGGCTCTCGCCACGCCAGGTGCCTCCACGCCAGCTGCCGCCATCCGCTGCCGCGCACGGGCAAACGAATCTCGCAGGGACCGAAGGTGGGAAGTCGGCGAGACCATCGTCGCCGCGGCAGCACGTCGTGGATGTGGATGAGGCGGCACTCCGGGAGGAGAAGCCTGTCTACCGGGCCGCCGCTCCCTCACCTAGCGCCGAGAGCGAGCCAGCCGAGCCGGGCGCGGCAATTCAAGCCGTGCTGACACGCCACGACAGCGAGAGGCTGGGCGCGGAGGGGAGCGGCGAGCGGGCGGGCGAGCGGGGAGTAGCGGGCGGCCTGCGAGGAGCGTTGCGCTGGTTGTCGCTGACGTAGCCACAAGATCCACACGGGCGGGGCCCTCGTCGCATGTCTGTTTTTAGGCTGCAGATTGCACCAGTGTTGAGCATATGTAGGTAATTAAGCGGGCAGAATTGAGCTGCGCGCTTTGGTGGTAAAATTCTTTTCTCAAACAGTGCGCGCCAGTCCCGTGCCCAGTGTGTTGTGCGAGGGAGAGTTTTGCGTGAAATCGTTAGAGGCTGCGCAGGCCTTCCCCGGTTTACAGGTAGTACTTTTTAACACGAGGTTGTTTTTACACGAGCGTCATTTTGACCCACCCACCCTATATAGTTCGTGGGGACCCCCCCGCCGGTCGGTGGTCTGCCCCCGAGGTGGACCAGACCCCCCCTCCGGTCGGTCGCTCTCTCGGCGGCGGGAGGTGTGACGACCGACCCCCCCCTCGGTCGGTGTCCTTGCCGTGAGCCCCTCAAACGCTCTCTCTCCCTCCTTCTCGGTTCTCGCGAACCGCCACGGGCGCTTCGAAATCGCCGGGTTTCACTATGAAAACTAGTTACGCAGCCAAGCGCCAAGGAGACTTCTTCGCCGAGGCCCGAGCAAGCCCGACCCCACACATGTATGTGGAGCATCTACGCAGTCGCAGGCCTGGTCCTGCTTGCCGTCGCTTTGTACAAGCTCTGGCCGCGCTCAAGCGGCTCGTCAACGGGTACAGTGTGTCGCCGGCGAAGCTAATCGTATGGACGACGACGAGTGGAGGAGCAGCCACTGGAACGCGATCATGTCGGGCAGGCTCGGCGACACAGTTCCAGCGGGCGCCCTCGTGAGACGCCGTCCATATCGCTGTTTTCTTTCTTTTCGGAGATCGTGTCGTGTTAGAGTGGTTTGGCGGCATTGCTTAAAACTCTCGGCAGCGGCACCGAGGTTCTACACCATACACGATATACACCGAGCCGCCACCGAGGTTGGAGTGTGTCCAAACTCCGCCACCACCCGCACCGCCTCCCTCGCCGCCTCCACCCCCCCCCCCCCCCCCTCCCCCCCGCCGCCCACGCCTCCTCCCTCTCCACCCCTCCCCTGCCTCCATCTCCCTTCCCCGCCTCACGAGCGGCGGCATGCTCGCGAGCCACACCGCCGCTCTCACGCCGCATCTGGCCTCGCCCCCACGCGCGACCGGCCGCGGCGACCGGCATCGTCGTCAACCTCCTGCGGGGCCGAGATGTCAAAGTCTGCGCCGAGTGAGCCGCAGACGGTCTCGCAGTTCTGTGCCTGAAAGGTTTGACGTATATCTCCCGACCGCCTCCACGAGGGCAGCAAAGGCCGGATCAAATGAAGTCGTCCGCTTTGCGCCTGCCGCAGCACCAACGGTTGCATTCACATGCCGATTCGATCTTCGAACAAACACCTCCGACAATGTCCACAACGTCTGTTCCAGAGGCATCGTATCTGTTGGTTTCCGTACGTCGCCCGTGCCCCTATACCGCTTGCGGACAGCATCCGCCAGAGTGGGTTTCTCGTGGAAGTGCAGGCATGATGGGTGCTTGGGAAGGATCCCAATCTCGCCGTGCTCGCCTCTTTTTAGGGGTTGCCCGTTGCGCGTCGCGAATGGCCCGTTGGGCATTTTCTGGTTTGGCCCCATGAGGAGCTGATCATACCCTTCCTTGAGACGCTTGTGGTGCGGGTCGGTTGGTGCCAGCTTCACACGCTTGACATGCGAAAACGATTTGACGTGAATACTGTGCGAGCCTCGCTGGCCGTCGCTGAGGACGTCGTAACTCGTGGCGGCCGGGAACATTTCCCATTTGAAGGAGGCCACCCCCACGTGCGAGGGCAGGGAGTGCAGCAGTGCGGGCAGGTCAGCACCGGGGACATGCAGGTACTCGTCCACATCGAGGCCACCGACCCACTGTGCACCCCCCTGTGCCGCCCTTTTGATGGCATCGACTTGCATTGCGACTTGTGATTTTGGAGGCGCCCTTGTATAGTTAATCGGGATCATCGTCTGGGCCTGCACTGCCATCTGCTGCACGCTCGAGGAGGTCGACTCGTCGTAGATGAGAAACCTGTGCACGCCCATGCACCAGTGGTGCAGGAGGAACCGCGCCAGATCGAGAGGCTGGTCTTTGACCGACACGCCCACCCACACCGGCGGCAGCTTGCTCACGCTCCCCGCCCATGGCCGGCAGCCAGTGGAGTTAGCCAGCGCCGTCGCGAGCCGCAGCATGTCCGGCGCTTGGTTTGTGGCCTCGTCGTGCTCGACGCACCGCTGAAGTTGTGCATCGTCTCGCTGAGTGAGGAAGCGCTTCATTGCACAGTCCAGCAGCGTGTGCTGCGGCAGTGGCGAGGGCGGCGGCGGCGGCGGGGGGCGCGCGAGATCCCGCTTGCACTTCTCGAGGAAGGGCTGAAGACTGCATGCGACGATGGCGGGCAGCTGGTAATTGAAGAGTGTCTGCGACCGTTGCCACTCAGCCCATGTGCTCAGCCCATGCCCACGCTCGTGCTCGTGCCCATGCCCACGCTTGTGCCCCGGCTTGTGCTCGTGCCCATGCACGGACACCGCGTCGAGGAGCTCTGAGACGCCAGAGCCGTAGGAAGACAGAGCAAAGGCCGAGCAGCCCAGACCGATCACGGAGAAGAAGATGCACAGTAGTTTTGTCAAGCAGAACTTGCCGAAGCGGAAGCCGGAGCGCGTCGAGGTTGGCTCCGTCTCCACGGCGCCCTGTAAACAGTGCTGACGAGTCATATCGTGATCTTCATATCGACCCGCACGCCCTCCTGAGGCGCCGTCCCCACGCTGTGTCTCTTTTTTGGGTGTCTGTGTTAGTGCCAGTGCACAGTCCCGTGAATGTTGCGACCCAACGCGGCCAAAGGATATCCACCTCGAGAACCTCGAGAATCGCGCGACGAATTCTTTTTGTGTGTCATCGAGAGAGAGATTTTTAGCAATACCAAACATCGATGTCGCCCCGACCGACTGTGCCAGTTTTTTGTGAGAGAGAGAGAGAGAGAGAGAGAGAGAGAGAGAGAGAGAGAGAGAGAGAGAGAGAGAGAGAGAGAGAGAGAGAGAGAGAGAGAGAGAGCCCCTTGTACGTCAGCCACCTGACCAGGGGAGGCGCGCGCGCTCTCTCTCTCTCTCTATTAGTAGGCACGACGCGCGCGCGATCTTCGCGGAGTCGGGTGCGCAGAGGGAGGCCGGAGGGAAGCGGTCTTTTCGGCCGACGTCCAGCGGCGCGCAAAAAACCATGTATTCGTAAATTTCTATGCAGGATGCGACAGCCGTCCTCCCACCAAAGCGCCTGACGATCGATCGCCCACGGGATGGACACGAGCTTGCCCGACACGAACAGTGCTGGCAGTGAAGTGTTCTCAGCTCATGAACATGACATTGACATCGGGCAAGTCCTGCGCTCGGCTGGGGTAACCGCAACCGCCTCTTCCGCCTCGCAGCGGCTATCTCGCGTTCAGCGCATCGACGGAGACGAGGAGCTCGTTGAGGAGAAAGGGAACGATGCAGACGCACCAGCTCCCATGTTGTCCAAAGCGATGAGCCGAGCTTCCTCTACCGCCGCCTCGGTCCTAGCTGCGGTGACGAGCTAGCCGTCCATTGGCTCTCAATGCCCCATTCCCTCACCTGAAAATTATGTGTTTCTCCGTAGTTGGAAGACAGCCCTGACGACGAGCCGGAGCTGCCCATCAACTATCACGCGGTCGTGATTTCGAGAGTTCGGGACGCGCACGTTTTCGTCGCATTGATGTGGGTACTCAGCGGCCTTATGTTGGCGGTGGAGGTGATGATGCTGATTGCAATCATGTACTCCATCGCATTCAAGCGATGTAGGAAGATGGACGATTGCCCGTTTGGCTACATGTGCGTGCATGCAACGAGTGCACTCTACGAGACGCTGACTTGCGAGGATTGTGCACTGTCATGCATATGGGGCAACAAATACAGGATGCCGTACAGCGGAACATTCGATCCAAATGTCGAGGCAAAAACCATCTCAGAGTACTGTGAGGGTGTGCTCGATCAACTTCCTGGAGAAGGCTTTGGCATCAATAAGTACATTACGCCAGTATTTTCCACTGACAAGTGCTTCTTTGTGGATAGCAACCGCTCAAAAATGTCGACCCTGGGCGAGGTGACGCTGTACTTGGCCTGCCTTGTCATTTGCGCCTTTGCTGTTCAGGAGCGGATGCAACAACTTTGCATCATGCAGATCCGCAAAGCTTACTTCCCATTGCTGTTCCGATCTCAGCAGTGGCGCTCCGGCGGCCGCGATTTTCTTCTTCCCCTGTTACTCATCGCCACAGAGGTCGTCTCGGAGTGTGTCTTGCTCCCACTGGTCCCCGCCTCCTTTACGCTCCTCCTTCTCTTCACTGGCATGCAAGCCGACAACATTCTCCTGGCCGGTGTTGGTATTGCATTCGTGCTTGAACTGGACGACATTGCGGCGCATTTTATGCTCACGTATCCGCAGAGGACAGCAGTCAACGACATTCTAAACAGTATGGTCGCTGAGAGCCGCAACCAAAGAGTTCAAAACATTCGCTTCAAAGAGCAAAGAATCTTGGCAGTGCTGCGGGGTGCATTCATCGGAGTCACGTTCTATGTGCTCTTCCATGCCAGTAGAACTGTGATGTGCGAGTTCATCTTCAGGTACATGATAAATCTGAGCTTCTGGTGGAGCATCGCCCCCTGCTGCGTGGAGATGCTGGCACCCATGATACGCGCGTACATGTCCAAGGATCACTGCCTGCGATCGCTTGGAGCGGGTTTCGTCTCCTTGATCGGAAGTGCGCTCTACTACACGCTCGGGGGGTGCTTCTATGCCTGCTTCCTGGCTCTTGGCTGGTTCATCTACTACCACTACCTCCCGGATTCCATATTCCTGATGTTCCTTTTTTGGGATCGGAACAAAATTGTGGACGGCAATGGAGACGCATACACTTCCAACACCTGTACGAGCGAGCCCGAAGATTGGGCATATAGTTGCATCAATTGGTACGAAATTTCTCAAGATGAGGCGACGTGCGATGAACTGCTCAGTGAAGGATCACTTACATGCGAATCGGACTTTTGTCCGACCTGCGCTTACTTCGACTACTGTGACAAGTCTTGCGGCTACGGTTACTGCTCGGATTATTGGCAAAACATGCTGGACCCCGCAGACGGAGCAACACCAACGGCATCGCAGATGCCTGCCAATGTCCTTCCTCTTAAGCGGTGGGAATTTGTGCCTCTGAACGCAGCTGGGAACAATCGCGATGAGTAAGCCTTCGCCGCAGCTCGCGAACCCCTGGGGAGGAGGGGGCTCGAGGGTAATATAGCTCATAGCGTGAGCGAAGCGCGTTTTCCTTTCGCTTGTGTTAGTGCCAACAGAGCCCGTAGCGCCCTCTGCACGGCGGGGCCTCGTGAGACCTACATCGATGTAGATAAAGAATTTTACAACAAACCTCCCTCGCACAACACTGGGCACGGGACTGGCGCGCACAGATAAAGAAAATCACACTAGAGTGCACACACCACGAGATATGGCTGGATGAGCCTTCGGCCAGACGGGGATGGCTTACCTCGCCTTGAGGACTCGGAGGACTCGGAGGACTCGGAGTAGGACTCGGAGTACTCGGAGTAGTGGAGTGGTGTGCATGCAGGCTGCCTCCGTGATTGTGAGTGTTCGCTCACTGCCTCACCCCTTTTGCGTATAAATATGAACAAGAGTGCATTTTGCGTCAGTACTTCTGACTGAGACTGTGGCTAGACGAGCGGCCTACCTCCAACGGACGGGGCTGTCGTACTAATAGAGGAGACCGCCTCTAAAACTAGTCTAAGAGCCCGCCGGTGCCCCGCCGTGCGCGCCGAGGGGGGTATTTGTCGTCCGTCGTTGCCCGTGCACGTTGGGGTGTGGCGTCGCGACCACCAAGTCCAAGCAGTCCAAGCTGGACTAGTCCAAAAAATAGCAAAATGCTAAAATACAGTGGGACATTACCTGTTTTTACTACTCTCGACGTGGAGTAGCTCATGAACACAAGAGCTCACGCGTACTGGCGTACTGCACGCGCTCACCACACACAGAGGGACCGCGTCACGTCATGTCGAATGTCGCCTCGCGCTCTGCCGTGACCCACCCGCCTCGGCCGCCAGGCCGGCAGGCGGGGCGGCAAGGACGAGCCTGGGCGCGATGGCGGCGTGCACCACGTCGAGGAGCGGCCGCGACAGCTCTCTGAAGGGGGGCGAGCAGTGTATCTCGCCAAAGTTCTCGACGATGTGCGACACGGCCGCCTCGACCAACTCGGCGCCGTTGTGCTGCGGACCAGGGCGAGAAGGGGGGGGGGGTGAGCCGGGGGAGCGGCACGGGCAGAATTGGGGCCTCCGCCCTCCCCCTCTTTGCCTGGTCGGCAACCGTCAGCACGTCGCACACGTTCGCCGCGGAGAGCATCCCCTCGATCCGGTCCGAGCAGAGGGCGCGCAGCCGCTCGACGCCGAAGCGGTCGGCGGCGGCGAAGAGCTCGAGGGCGGACTCCTCGGGGACGGCGGAGGAGTCGGTGTAAAGGTGCTCGAGCAGGAGCTGGAAGACGGGCGGTGAGACGTCGACGATCGGCAGCTCCTCCTCGGTCGCCTGGCACGCACGAGCGTGGTGGTGGGGCAAGGGCCAGGGCAACCCCTCGCGACTCCACGTCTGAAGACAGGAGCCGCGCGCGGAGCAGTCAGAGTGCAAGGCCTGGTGCGCGTGGGTGAGTGGCGGGTGCTATGTGTGTGTGTGTGTGTGTGTGTGTGTGTGTGTGTGTGTGTGTGTGTGTGTGTGTGTGTGTCGCCTCCCTCATGCCGGACGCAAACATGCGCGCGAAGAAGTCGCAGCGCGCGGCGAGCACCACGCGGTGCGCCGGGATCCGCATGTCGCCTAGAAGGTTCCTTGAAGGTTCCTTGAAGGTTCCGAGCACCACGCGGTGCGCCGGGATCCGCATGTCGCCGACGAGCAAGCAGACGTCCGAGAGGAGCTCGCTGTTGAAGTAGCGGCGCCAGTCCGAGGCGAGGCTGGACGAGGGCCGCGTGTCGAGCACCTGGTCCGTCCATTCATCAGTACATCTTTGCTCCACTCATCCATCGCTCATTTGGCCGCGTGCTCAGCGCCTGGACGTCGTTCAGAAAGATGTAGTCGTCCTCCTGCTCGTCCCAGTAGCGGCCGCCAACCACGTAGACGCACTTGCCGACGACGCCCGCAGCGTGGCAGGCTCGCTTGAGCGGGGAGGGCGAGGAGGGGGGGTGGATGCGCCACGCTAGCTGCTCGAGGTCGATCTCGCACACCGCGTTCGAGCACTCGAAGTGCAGGTCCTTGCCGTAGTCGTAGTACTGCCCGCCGAAGACGAGCAGCCGCCCCTCCACCACAGAGGCGGTGTGGTACCTCCGCTCCTGCTCACGGCTCGAAGTGTGAAGAGACGCTGTTCACACCACAAGAGCGGAGTGGTACCTCCGCTCCTGCGGCCCCTCCCCGCTCGCGACGAGACGCGACCACGTCATCGTCGCCTACGAGTGAACCGGCGGCGGTGAAGAGCCGAGGATGGGCGGCGGTGGGGTGTCGTGTCGAGCTCGTGCAATCTCGTGCAATCTCGTGCAATCTCGTGCAATCTCGTCGGGCGCCGTGTCGAGCTTGTGCAAATCGCAGAGGTTGATCGAGCGGTCGTCGCCGTCGAGCCCCGCGCCGCCAAAGAGTATCATGTCGCTCCTGGAGAGGGGAGGACCAGGAACGAGTCGCCAGCTGTGAAAGGGCCCCACCACACGCCCCCTGTAGCGCACCCGACGACGCACGCAGAGTGGCCCTCGCGCTGGCTCGGCAGCTGGCCGTGCGCCTACTCTCAACGACTGCTCAATCATAATGAGTCATACTCATCATGGGAGCTCGGCAGCTGGGCGCGCGCCTCCGGCATGCTCCACGCGCCGGTGGCGGTGTCGAAGGTGTGGAGGTCGTTCAGGTACACGGACTCGCCCTCGTCCTCGAGCTCTCTGTGCGGCGTCCGCTCCGCCTCTTGCACCCACGTCCTATGGACATGTCTCGGACATGTCACGGACGTGTCTCCGACATGTCCGCCTCTTGCACCCACGTGTCCCTCCAAAGATGAAGATGAGCCGGCCGATCACCGCTGCTGAGTGGCCCTGAGATGGTTCGGCAGAGGAGGGAGAGGGTGAGCAAGGAGGGAGGAAAGGAGGGAGCGAGGGAGGCAGGGAGCGAGCGAGGGAGAGGCGAGGCAGGCGAGGCAGGGAGGGAGGTGACCTCCCGCCCTTCCGGCGGAGAGCCGGTATAGGCCGGCTTCATCCACGAGTAGCTCGCCACGTCGAAGACGTGCAAGTCGTCCAAGTACGCGTTCACGCCCGTCTTCTCGTCCTCCCACGTGCCGCCAAAGATGTAGATTTGCTGGTCGACGACCGACGCCGTGTGCCCCTCGCGGTCGTCGGGCGTCGTCGACCGACCCTCCGCGTCTTGGAGGACTTGCGGATACGTCAGCGTCATGTTGACCGTGTCCAGCATCTGCAGCGGAGGGCAGATGACCTTTCCCTCCTCGTCCTCGTGCTTGCCAAAGAGAATAAAGACCCGCTTGCCGACGACGGAGCAGCTGTGGCCCTCGCATGGCCGCCTCGCCCGGCCCCGCGGCTGGATCTGCGACCACTTCATTCCGCAGCGTCCAGTATTCACTGGATAACGCACGCGCCAGTATTCGGGGCAGGGTGCCGTGCACGGCAGCGAGAAGTGCCGAGCTGGCGTGCGGGCGGCTGTACAAAAGAATTTTTTGCGAGCTGGGCCATAACCACTTGAGCGTTGGACGCTCTGCGACTCGAGCACTCTGCGCAGTGCATCGAACTCGCGCCCCGAGACCCGCTTGCTTGGGAGATGCGCGGCACCGTGTGCCACGGCCAGGTCGCCTCGTGGCTCGGGTGGGAGGCCATTGAGCCGCGTCCGCGGGCGTTGATCGTCGAGTCTGTGTATGCCTTCAAGCGCGCTGCGAAAGCGATCTCCGAGAACACCTTCCGTGCCGAGAGGTATCTGCAGCGGGCCCAGGTGAGCGAGTCACTCCTACACGGCATCGGGATTCCGCCGCAATACATTGAGAGCCCCTCGAACGGGGTGGGTTAGGGTGGTTTAGCGCCCCCTAACCCAGGGCGGGTTAGCGTCGTTTACCCTAGACGGTCACTAAACACGCCTAAACGATGCTAAACCGCCTCGACAAATGCTCTGCCTGGCCGGGGAGCTCCGTTTAACACTAAACCGCCCTAAACCCCTCCACAAGTTTCGCGCGCGTCCGCACTAGCCCGCGTCAGCACCTCTCCTCTACCGTCAGACATATGCCAGCTTCTCCCACGGCCGCGCGCACCGCCACCGACGCCGCAAACGGCGCGAGTCCGCCACCGTCGCCTTCCCCCGAGTCTGCGCTCGCCGCGACCCGCGAGCAACTCAACGCCACCCTCACCTACATTCGCGTCACGCCCAACGGCCGCATTGCAGCCGCTGTCGGCTCCGGTGACTCGAGGCCGGAGACCGACCCGGGGTGGGAGGCGCACAAGGAGCAAGCCCGCCAGGCCCGCGAGGGGCAGGATACCTCCTCCACCCCGGCGCGCTCGCCAGGAGAGGCCACCGCCCCACCCGCACAACTCGAGGCCGAGCCGGCGGCGGTCGCCGAGGGCGGTCCCGGAGCCGGGACCGAGACGGGAGGGGAGGAGGCACGCTCCCCGAGCGGGGCGGCGGCCGAGGCCGGCGGAGCCAACGGGACCGAGCCGGAGGGGCAGGCGGCGGGCGATGGGGTTGGAGGCGGCGCCGCCGAGCCGCCGCAGCTCGAGCAGGAGCCCCCTGCCCAGGAGGCGGCCGAGATGCCCGCTGCCGAGAAGACGGCGGTGGAGATCGACCAGCCTCTCGCGCTGACGCTCACGGTGTGCTGCGGCAATCTCTCGCTCGAATCCCGCAACGAACCGCCTTGCGCTCTCCGCAGCGAGGGCGAGTGTGGCCGATTCGGCTTTCTGCTCCCTGGCGGCAGCAGCGGTCACGCCTTTCACCATTGCAGGGAGTATCGTCTCAACCGCCTTGCTCTCAGCTTTTGCGACCGCCCTGGCCGTCTCGGCTGCAGCCGTGGCTGTAGCCTTGGCCGTGTGCAGCTTCTGCTGCAACTGCCGCTCCTGCTCGTCCGCAGCGATCGCTAGAGCTTCGCCCTCTGCGGTGGCGGCTGCAGTTGCCTCGCTGATCGCCGCCTCGACCCGCTGCATATCTCGTGCAGCACGTGCACGCGCCTCGGCGTTGACCGCGGCAACCTGGGAGGAGGCGCCAAACAAGGAAGGCCGTCTGCTCGTCGATGACGGCGCCCCACTCGGCAGGCAGCTACTGAAGCATCCAGAAAGTCCTCGCCCGGACGACGAGGGGCGTCCCAATGCTGTGTGCGCTTTGCTGCGCCTGTGACGCTCGTACTCCGCCTCCGAGACGTCGAGCTGCAACTCAAAGCCGCACTTGCATACCAGCCGCTTGCGCGGCACTTCCTCGCCGCGCATCCGTGTTCTCTCGCGCTGCTCGATTCCGCCGTTGGCCAGCTCGCGCTCCAGCCAAGGCGGCGTGGACGCCATCCGGCTAAACGGCCGATCGTCGGACTAAACGACGACTAAACACGACTAGTCCAGCCCGACAAATGGCGGCCGCAGGCCGGATCAACTCCGTTTAGGCGCGTTTAGTGACCGTTCAGGGTAGACAACGCTAAACCGCCCTGGGTTAAGGGCCCCTAACCCGCGCTAAACGGTGTTAAACTGACACGTTCGAAGGGCTCTCTACATTGGCGCACTGGACGGCGACCTAGTGCCGGTCGAGGAGTACCTGCGCGATGGCGGTGGCGTGGACGTGCGCGACCTCGGGCGGTGCACGATGCTTTACTTTGCGGCCGAGGCAGGCCAGACCGAGGTCGTGAACATGCTGATCGAGCACGGAGCCGACCGGAACATGCAGATCGAGACGGGCGAGACGCCGCTCATCGCCAGCGTGCTGCGCGGCCACCTCGGCGTCTTCAACGTGCTCATGCGCGCCGGCGTCGACGTCAATCTGGCCGACGAGGAAGGATGGACGCCCCTCATGTACGCGGCGCAGGACGGACGCCTCGCGTGCCTCGGCGGTCTGCTCGCCGCCGGCGCGCTCGTCGACGCGGCGTCCACCGCAGAGGTCGACCTGAGGTTCCACAAGAATCAGACTCCGATGTTTCGGGTGCCGCCACGCGGCGAGACGGCGCTGCTGATCGCGGTCAAGAACAGCCAGGGCACGGGCGTCGTCAACCTGCACGCGGCGCAGCAGGGCCTCATCCCGTGCCGCACCGAGCATGTGGCGACGGTCGCCGCCTTGCTCAAGGCCGGCGCGAGCCCAACCCATCGGGACGCGAGGGGAAATAGCCCCACCTCCTTCGCGCTCGGTCGCGGGATGCGCGAGATTACGCGGCTCTTCCAGAAGCACGCGGCGCCGCTCCTTGAGAAGCGCGTGCGCATCCACGGCCTCGTCAGCCGGCCGGAGCTCAACGGCCAGCTTGGCGGCGCCGTCTCGCACGACCCGAGGACGGGCCGCTACGCCGTCGCGCTCGACGAGGGCGCCAGCGACGTCAAGATGTCGATCAAGGTGCGTGCGGCCAACTTGGAGGCCGCCGATTAGGCCGATGGACGTGGCCATTTGCCAGCAAACGGGGCGGCCGACGCTCGGTCCTTGCGCCCGATTTCACGACGGAAGGCATGAACACTGACTGTCGCCTCGGTTTCCGATGCGGAGGTGGAACACCATGCCAGGCGGCGTGCTGCGTCCGCGCACGCTTGTCGTCCGTAGCCGCGCACTCTTTTGGACAGAGGGGCAGAAGAGGGGGGGGCGGCCTGAATGCCTGAGCGGGGCTGAATCGAATGGCAATCGGGGAGGGAGGCTGTGGCCCCTGTGGGGGTGGGGTGGGGGGGGCTCGCTTTTGAAAAGAATTCAATAAATATATATTTCCCCTGGCCGGAGCCCCGCGGCGTTTTTTGGTTTTCAAAAGTGCGGCGCGCGCTCGTGTCTCTGCGCCGGGCCTGATTTTTATCAAGATCTTTCATATTGTTACGGCAGCGTGGTGCGGCTCCTCACCAATAGTCTCCCTCCTCCTCCCCCGGACGAGGCGCGCCGCACTTGAAACACGCCCTCTTCCGTGCAAACACGAGCGCACCGCAGTCCTGGCAGGTCCAGTCGCCAGGGAGCATCTCGGGAGGGCCTCCGCCCCTCGGCTCGGCGGCGCCCTTGAACCATTCCCGCCGCCCTCGAGCCGCGCCCGAGCGCCCGCCGCCGCGCCCGCCGCCGCCGTCCACCCGCCCCCCCACCCACCACGAGCGCTGGCGCCGCGCATCATCCAGAGAGACGCCGAGGTCGGCGAGATCGTCGAGCAGCTCATCCGCCTTCTGGAAATCGCGCTGCTGGCGCGCCGCGTCCCGCTCTGCCAGCAGCCGCGCCACCGCCGCCTCGTCCACCGCCGCCTCCCCGTCGGCCGTGCCGGCGACACGGCTCCACTGCCGGTCCCGCCAGCTGTCAGCCGCGCGTGCCCCACTGCCGGCGCCGCGAGCCTGTCGGCGGCTCGACTCCTGCGCGTCCTTGCGCACGTTGAGCGAGCGGCCGTCGAGTTCGGAGCCGGTCATCTCGCGGATGGCGTCCTCCGCCGCCGCCGAGCTCTCGAATTGCACGATGCCGCAACCCTTGGAAGCGCCGTCCTGCGTCTGGCTGACGCTGGTGTAGACGACGGGGAATCCGCTCGAGAGGAAGTGGTCCTTGAGGCCGGCCCAGTCAGTGTCGTACGAGAGATTCTCAACAAACACCCGGGTACCAGCAAAGTTGTCTCGCCACTCACCGCGGCCGGAGCCATGGCCGCCACGCTCGGGGCTGCGTCCGCGGCCGCCAGGTCCGCTGACTCGCTGCCAGCCGGCGAGGCCGTGCGCTCCGCGGGCCGACACGAGTATTAGCACGAGCTTCATCGCGTATGGCCGGCTGAGTGCACGGCTGAGTGCAGCGACGTGCCTGCCGTGAGCTTGAGCGCTCCTGCGAAAAGAATTTCGTGGTACACGGTAATTCACAGGGATGCATCTTTTGGGGCACGACAGCCTGGCGATCCTGGCGATAGCGTGGGCACAGCCACAGGCGGAGCCGGAGGGGAAACAAACGTGAAACGAGTACCGATGTGTTAGCTGGCTGGCAACAGAGCTGCTGCCGCATCGGAGTTGGCGAGGCGGGCTGTGGGCGATCGATTAGGGCCGCTTGCGTGGGTTCGAGCCCCACCACGGAGACTCTTCCATCCCCGCGCGGACCACGGGACTCCTCTGCGCACACCGCGAGGTGTGGTAGCAGTCATCATCTTCTACATCTGTGTCGCGTTCTGTGGCAGCTGTACTCATTGTGGCAGCAGTCCTTGAAAAGAATCCGCCGCGGCCACCATGTTCCCACCCCCAACGTGGCATTATCGATCGCGCGGCCGCATAGCAACTTCGGTCGTGTCATCGCGCCGTCTGCTGCTGCTGCCGCAGCATGAGGGTCTGCGCCGCGCGCTCGCCCCCTATGCGCACGACCGCTGGCGCTGCCACGCGTATGGATGTGGCGTACCTTACATTCGGGGCACAGCTGACACACGCTGACAAGTTGGCCAACAGCCTCCGCGCGATTCACAACGTGGAGGCCTGGTCCGATGGTGGAATTCATTACCACATCATAGTCGCCACAATGCGGCAGCCTCCGAGGGAGGCGTGCGAGGCGATCTGCTCGCTCTCGCCGTCACGGCATGGCGACATGAGCGACCGGATCCATCTTCACACTTTGGCGAACCTGTCAAGGGAAGCGATGCAGCTGAAGGGGCGGCTCGCGAAACTGGCAAGGGGTCCGGGGAAAATGTACCTCTGGAAAAATATGATCCACTACATACTTCCGGAGCAGCTGGATCGCGTGCTGCTGCTCGACTCCGACATCTTCATCGTGACTGAAGTCGCGCAGCTGTGGAGCATGTTCGACCGCTTTGGCCCGAACCAAATGATTGGCATGGGACTCGAGCAGAACCAGTTCTACTCGTCTTTGTTCGGAAGCACATCGGGAGCCCTCGGCCTGAACTCGGGGGTGGTTCTCTACGATCTTCGACGTATGCGCGCGTCGGAGCTGTACAAGCGGCAGCTCGAGGGGTTCGCATCGCAACGCCTGCCGGTGGGCATTCCAATCAAGCCAGAGAGGACTCGCCTCGGCTACATCGCGGATCAGACCCTGTTTTCTTTCATGAGCCACCCAACTGCTGCCGGTGCGGCAGAGCTTTTTTTCGTCCTCCCGTGCGGCTGGAACAGACAGTTGAGTCCCCAGTACTGGACAACTCCGGGCTTCCTCGCTACCCACCAGTGCTCCGGTCCGTGCCACCTGCTGCACGCCAACTTTAAGCCATACAAGCGCCTGCTCGAGGGCTGGATCCAGAGCGACCCCACAGGACGCACATGCGGCGTGCGTGCGGCAGTCGAGGGCGCTCGCAACTGCACCTCTCGCTTTCCCAAACACCCCCCGCGGGAGCACGAGTGCCCGGACGCCATATGGGCCTATCCCGCTGGGGTGTACATGATGCGCGAAGTCGCGAGGTGTTGCAGCCCCTTTGCGATCGATCCGACGCTAGTGACGCCCAGGCGCAACTCATTATGGCCTCGGCACGCAGTCCAGGCCTGATTGTCTCGTGCTCGGTTGTTGGTCCATTCCTGGCGGCGCCTTCCGCCTGGCGCTCGAGGTCTTTCCCTCAAGTTTTTTTCAGTGGCATCAGTCACCGACACTCATGTGCTGAGATGACAAGAAAGGTGGCCGTCGACTCGAGTATTGAGGATGTAAACCGCCGTGTCGGCCGTCTCCGTCGACACACTGGTGAAGAGAGTGGCTTGACAGCATGGAGCAGGCGACGAAGGTTCACCATCCAGAAGAGCTTTGCCACAGACAAGCTCGGCGTCGTTGTGCCGGACAAGGACCGCGTGCTCACAGAGCTGATCCCTTGTGGCGCAGCCGCGGCGCCGTGCGTCCCCGGGCTCCAGCCTGGCGACAAAAGGTCCAGAGCGTCATAGCGGCAAGCTCATCGCCGAGACGAGACCGGCGACGCTCGAGACGACGTCACGACGAGGGACGCGCTCAGAATACGAGAACCGCAGCGCGCAGTCCAGTTACAGTAATCCACCACCCGTCGTCTTTCCCTCTCTAGGTTATGTTTGTAAGGCCTCCACACCGTGGATCTGTACGTGCGTACACAAGACACACTAATAGAGACGAGGAACGGCGAAGCTAAATCACCGACTCCTTTTATTCCTTCCCGGCGGCGGCGGGCTCGCGCCACAGCGGCTCAGGCCGCCCAAGCGCGGGGGCCGACCTCCGCCGCCGGCGTGACGGCTGTCATCGCGGGGCGTAGCGCATGTTGATGTAGATCCAGCAAGTCATCCCCTCCTTGCCCGTGCTGGAGAGGCGCAGCTTCGCGACCGGCTGCACCACGCTGAGGCCATGCTCCCACCACTCGCTCGCCGTCCGGTAGCTCACCAGCACGCGAAAGGGGGAGCGCTGCAGCACGCGCGCGAGCGACGCCATCGTCGTCGGCGAGAAGACCCGGTCGAAGACGTACACGTGCGAGAAGTCGAGGTGCGAGCCTGCGTGTGCCATACCTCCAGAGTATCGAACCCAGTGTGGGGTCTCTGCCGCGTGGTAGCAGGTGTGTAGCAGATGTGCGAGGTGCGAGTCTGTATGGTGAGTACGCCAACCTCGGGGCGGGAGGACGGCATTGTGCAGTGTACTCAGAGCACCGCGTGAAGACGAGGGGGGTGCGAATGCAGCAAACACATACAGCGGAATACGGCCGAATACAGCGGAGTCTCTTGAAGAGTGCGAGAGGCAAGAGAGCGTACTCCGCTAAGTTTAGAGGTGTGAGACGGGGAGATACGGAGAGATGTTGGGGAGATACGGGGAGATTCCGCGTCTAGAGGTGCGGGCCGAGCGTCGCGTCCCCAAAGTGGAAGTAGACCTGTCACACATTGCAGTTGTACGTGAGTATGCTGCACACTACAGGAGCGGCGCGTCCCCAACGCGAAAGAAGACCGACTCGAACGGGTCCATGTCGACCGCCGGCTCATCGCCGCCCCCTCCGCCCCCTCCGCCGCCTCCCCCTCCGCCGCCGTCCACGCCGCCGTCGCCACCGCCGCCGCCGCTCTCCTCGCCTCCGCCGCCGCCTCCGCCGCACTCCTCGGCAGCGGGTGGAGATCGCGCAGTGCAGAGAAGGGTCGCGTCCAGCAGCAGCTCGGAGCGGATCTCCTGCAGCGAGCGGCACGCGATCTGGTGGCGCGAGATTCGCCGAGATTCGTCCGAGATTCGTCCGAGATTCGTCCGAGATTCGGCCCGGGGACTCCTGCAGCGAGTGGCACGCGATCTGGTGGCGCGAGATGACGCACTCGATGCCGACAGCGCGCCGCACGCCCGCCTCGAGGGCGACATGCATCACCACCTAAGGCAAGGCAAGGGAAGGTACACTTCTCCACACACACGAGGTGGTGGGGCAAGGGCCAGGCAGCCCTCGCGGCTCCACGTCTAGACAGGCAGGAGCCCCACGGCATTCAATGTGCAAGGCCCAGTGCGCGTGGGCGAGCGGTGTGTGAGTGTGAGTGTGAGTGTGAGTGTGAGTGTGAGTGAGGGGGGTCGGGGGCGAGAGCGAGGGCGAGGGCGAGGGCGAGGGCGAGGGTGAGTGTGAGGGGTGAGGGGTGAGGGGTGAGGGGTGAGGCATATGCACCACCACCACCTTGCCATACCCCGACCCGACGTCGACGAAGCACGAGCGGCGGGTGAGGTCCCAGCAGCTGGGCCAGCCGACCGGGTGCAGCCTGTAACGAATCATCAACCCGTCAACCATGCGCAGCGAATGACCAACGGCCAGCCAAGACGGTGGTGCAGCCGGCAGAGCACGCTCCCGCGCAAGTTGGAGAGCAGGCCGCAGAGCCGCGACACCGACCCCGCCGTCATCTCTCCGTACCCCTCCGACCCACGCGTGTTGCCGCCAAGCCCGCGAGGCGCGTCGATCCGCGTCGTCAGCGAGCCGCCTCCGCCTCCCCCTCCTCCTCCTCCGCTGCCGCCGCCGAAGCCTCCTGCGCCGCCTCCTCCTCCGCCCCCGCGCTGCGAGCGCGCGTTTGCGGTCGAGGTTGCAGCGTCGTAGTCCGAGGAGAGGCCCCAATCGAGGTACGACTGGCCCTCGATGACCTTGTAGAGCCGGCGCTGCAGCAGCGGCAGCCGCGCCTCGGCAGCGACCACCTCGACGACGGGCGGCAGTGAACAGAGTAGCGATGAATAGCCGGTGGTGAGTCATGCACTAGTCGTGAATCAAGGCAGCGGCCACCTCGACGAGGGGCACCTCGAAGTATCCCCCCTCCGCCGCCTCGTCACCCGAGCACGACCCCTCCCTGACTGCAACCTCGCCCACCTAAGGGGGGGGATCGGGGGAGATCGGGGGAGATCGGGGGAGATAGGCCTTCCTGACCGCCACCTCTCGCCCACCGTCGACCCGCTGCGCTGCCGCTGCGCGCGGTCCGGCCGCGCACATAGCACCTCGCCGCACCGCGTCGCCAGGCCTGCGGGGAGGGATGGGGAGGGGTGGGGAGGGGTGGGGAGGGGTGGGGGGGAGAGAGGGAGAGAGAGAGAAGAGAGAGAGAGAAAAGAGAGAAGAGAGAAGGCAGAAAAGAGGGAGGGAGAGCGAAGAGAGCGAGGAGAGCGAAGAGAGCGAAGAGGGCGCCACACCTTGCAGTCCCGACACGCGCGCCACCGCGCCGCCCCGCAGCTCGATGCTCTGCGACACGGCGACGGGGTCGTCTCCGCGGAACAGCGCCGCCTCGTACCTCCCGCCCGCGAGTGGATGATCAATTAATGACTCATTAATCATTCATTAACAGCGCCGCCTCGTACCTCCCGTCCGCGAGCGCGCGCAGCTCCGCCGGCGTGAAGAGCGTCTCGCCTGTTCACGGCGGGAGCTGTGAAGAGGCGCTGTTCACACCCTCCGCCCAGCCGCCGGCGTGAAGAGCGTCTCGCCGAGGACCGCGTCCTACGAAGTGGGTATACACCGACGTGAGGGAGGGAGGGCGGGCATTGTGCCGCGTCTTCAGGGCACCGCGTGAGTACGAGGGGGAGGCGAGTGCAGCGGATGCGGCAGAGTACTCTCGCGCGCTAGTTGGGAGAGAAGAATCCGGCTCCCGCGTCTAGGGACCGAGATACGGGGAGATACGGGGAGATACGGGGAGATATGGGCAGATACGGGGAGATATGGGGAGATAGTCCGCGTCTCGGGGCAGCGTCCCTCCGGATGGTCTTGAAGCGGCGCCGCCACGGAGGGAAGCGCCACCGCCCTCCCCGCGGCCAGCCCTCGCAACCGTGCAGACCCACCCACGCGCCCGACGCGCCTAGTACCATACCTCAACGGGATCGAACCCAGTGTGGGTTCAGGTACCGTGGGAGGTGCGGTATCACGGGCCCGGGTTGCCGCTAGGCCAGCACCAGCGCAGCCGGCAGCCGGCAGCAGTCGCGCCTGGAGAGGCGCCACGATCATCAGGGGGAGGTGTGGGGGAGGTGTGGGGGAGGTGTGGGGGAGGTGTGGGGGAGATATCGCACCGCCCGCCGGCGGGCAGACATCCAGCCAATACATGCCCTCCTCCTCCGCCGCCGCCGCAGCCCCCTCAGCCGCCGCCCCGCCCGCCCCCTCCGCCGCCCCCCTCGCCGCCCCCTCCGCCGCCGCCGCAAGGTCAAGCCGCAGCAGAGACTGCCCCGCATGCCTCTCCGCCGCCGCCCAGCCGGGCTTGCACCCCTCCCACGCGCCCGTCAGCCGCTGCGAGGCGGCCGCGCCGTCGGACGCCTCCACAAACCAGCAGCCCGCCGCCTCGGCTACCTCTTCCTCGCCCGTCGGCTCGCCGTCTTGGCCGAGCGGCGGCGGCAGCACGTCCGTCGGCATCGAGCCTGAGAATCAATCATTCCTCATCCCGCATGCATCATTGATTGGGCGGCGCCGCCCGTCGGCATCGAGCCGTGCAACGCGAGCGAAGCGAGCACCAGAGGGCCGTCTCGCTCGATTGGCGAGAAGGAGCCGCATAGCTCGGACTGCAGGGCCGCCCTCTCTCGCTGCTGGAGCGGCGTGAGCGGCTGCTGGCCTCGCGAGCGCAGCGCCGCCACGGCGCGCGCGCCGCACGCGCGCGCGTCCAGCTCGCCCGAGTGTCGCAGGTGCAGCGCCTGCACGAGCGAGTTCACTCGTTACGGACGAGTTCGAGCTGGAGGTACGGGCAGGTCTCCCCATATCTCCCCACATCTCGCCATATCTCCCCACATCTCGCCATATCTCCCCACATCTCGCCTGCACGAGCTGGAGGTACGGGCACGTCTCCCACTTGAAAGAGTCGGCTGCGCGCCGCAGAAAGCCGAGCGCGGGTGCGACCGCCGCGGCGATCGAGGGCGCCGACGGAGTGGCGCGCAGCTCCGCACGCGCGCCGCGCTGCTGCGCCTCACTCGGGCCGGCGATGCAATCGCTCTCCGCGTCCGAGCCGTCCGAGCGCTGGGACGGCTCTGGCCTCAAAGCCCGAGTTGTGGTGGAGCCGGCCCGCGCACCGGCGTCGGCCGCGTCGGCCGGCGCGTCCGTCTCGCGCGGCCTGGCTCGCTTGCGACGCCTGCCCTTGGCACCGCCGCCGCCGATGGCGGGCGAGGTTGCAGGCTGCGCGCCGTCCTGGCGCCACAGCGCCGTGAGCAGGGCGTCGAGCGCGCCGATCCGATCGCCCGCGTGCTGCCGCGTGACCGCCTCGAGCTCGGCGTCGCTGACTGAGGGCACGAGCGTCTTGAGCCACGTCTTTGTCGTCGCCGGCATGAAGCAACTCGCTCAGACACTCTCACGACACAGACTGAGTAGGAATCCTACACCAAAAAGAATTTACAAATTGCACTTCGCCTCTCTCGACCCGAACTCCCGTGCTGCCCGACGGCGGTTCCCTGCTTGCGCTTTGCGTGCTGCTTCGGCTACTCCGCGCTCGACCTCTGCTTCGGTCCGTGCAACGACCAACGTTGAAAGAGAGGCTGCCTGCATGCGGCACAAGGCTTCCACCGGCCCGCTGGCTCGCCGTTGCCGTTCATCGTGCTGCGGTCAGCCTCAGAAACGCTCGCCGCAGTTGGCGCGTCGGTGGCAACGCTCCGCGCACCGCGGGAAACGAGCTGCTTTTGTAAGTGTCTCTTCATGACGAATGGACGCACGAAAATCGAGACTTGAATTTTTTTAGCTGGGAATAGGACCGCCGCAAGCGACGTGGCGTGGGGCGGTTGAGCATCCCTCCGGGGGCCCCTCTGCGCCGGGGAGGCGTTGTTGAAAAGGTAGCAGCTCTTGCCGAGGAACGCCCAGTAACCAAGCTAGCCAAATGAAGCAGAGGGGCCAGAGAATAGAGCTAGAAGCTTTAAAAGGACGTACATGTGGCATTACGCGCCACGCTCGTTTTGAAAACCGGGGGTGGGGATTGTGCGGTTGAAAGGTTTGTTCTCCCTTGTTCCAAGCACGAAGATCACCTTTCTCTTTCTGCTTACACTGATCGGGCTCGAGATCGCGGGACTGACGCGCACTGAACACTCCCACACACGCACAGGGTCACACA